ATAGCATTCTATAATAGGCACATTATAAAATTGTAATAATAGCGATATAACTAGGGACATTATAAAAATATAAAACACAGTATTTTACATGAAAAAGACAAAGAAAAGAAAGAAAACAAAAATAGAGATAATACAAAAAAAGTTCTTCTGTGGAAGGATTCGAAAACTTCTAAAACTTCCAGGTATGAATATATTACACTAGAGCTTCGCTACTACATCACTGCCTCCAACTTTAAGAAAAGAAGCATGTGTAGCTGCGATAGAAGATTAAAACATTAAATATCTCTGTAAATAATGAGTATTGACGGAAATGCTTGGACGCGGTCAAATTATTTTTACTTTAAAATCGACAGACCAAATTTCATTAAAATCGACGATCCAACATCTGTGACCTCCCCTTGCTAGCGAGAAATCGGAATGCTCAACGTTGGACGATTTACACGATGATCAATATTGGACAATATTGAATCAGTGCAAACACTGACAATGAGTTAGTAACAGTCCCAGTGGCGGCTTGTAGCTAAAATTAATGGGGGGGTGCTGCTCCAAAAAAAAAAAAAGTACCTTCCACAAGCACGCCAGGACCGGCACTGCTGGAGCTGCAGTGCTCTCTCTCTCGCAGCCTCGCGTGTGCGCAGCTTCCTATGTGCGCATGCGCACAACAGCCAAACGCCACGCCGCTGGAACTGTGAAGCGCACAGTTCCATGCAAAGATTTTTGTATCTTTTTCATAAACTGGCGGATGGCTACCGACATTGAGCTTAAGGATTATATTTATTGTACAAGTATAAAGAAAGAATTAAAGAAAAAAAGGACTCATTGTGTTAAATGTTATCGATAATATCAAGTGGAAATAGGGGGTGCTGCAGTTTCACAGTGCCTATGCGTGAGCTGCCACTGAACAGTCCACACAAAAGTGGACTGTGAATGGTTAGTCACAAGGGCAGGATCCAGTAGTTGGTCATCTATGCTCCTTCCCCTTCTACTTGGAGATGATGACCAAAACCAAAAACATACCAAGGACATGCTTGGAAGAAGCAAGCAGCATTCTATTCTATTCTTTTCCTCGAAAGTTTGACAATAGATGTTGTACACGACCACGATTGCAACAAAGAAAAAATTATAAGCGTGTTAATTCCATCACACGGAATCAGAACAACGTTCTGATCGACTGTGGCACGTCTGAGTAATTATTTAAGCGGTGGAAAGCTGTACAAAAGCCTCGCCAAAGACTCGAAAGCGTTTACGATGAATTACGCTACTTTGATTACTTTGACGGGGAAAGTCTTTTCAGTTTTAACTTCTTGACGTGTAAATGAAATGAAACTCGATATGGCCAAACAATGGTATTTATTTTCCATTTTAACAAAGTGTCATAAACTCGATACTTGTAAACAAAATTAGTAATTCAATAGTAATTCACTTAGGAAACGTCATCAATAGTCATCTCGAAAATTTATTGATATTCCTGTGCAAAAGTAGTTGTTGATCGATAATTATCGATAATTGAATGTGGAAACCTTGAACAAAGGTCTCGTTACATATTCATCGATATTAAATTAACAATATACATATATATATGGTATGGTTCTACGATCGTATCGATAGAAATATAAATTGGACGTGTACTTGATATAAAATTTGCCCAACTTTGATGGATGCGTGTCCGAAAAACACAATCGTAACGTGCCGAAATATCCGTGTCGTATATATCGCTTGTTTTGTTTTGTGTTTCACGCAGTAAGGCCACATGGTAAGGTAGCATAGAGTGGGGGATAGTCCCAATTATTATACTGTACTACTACTATAATTGTAAGAATTGGTGAGCACCAGAGCTAGGTAAAATACTATTTTAAAATGGTAAATAGATATTTTATTTTATGTCACGCGTGTATTTTTGAAAATGAAATATTTTATTTGTTGTAAAAAATTTCTAAGATAATATTTCAAATAAAATTTTATTCGAAAAGAGGAAAGGAAAAGAGTCAGGAGTTCTTTTTTCCACACTTTTTTCATTTACAACGCTAACAAAGAAAAAAATAATCGACAAAATGTTTGAACAAAATTTGAAAGCAAATTTATTAAATAAACCAAAATAAACCAAAAAGAGGACTCTTGATTCTTTTTCTTTACATTATTCCAGTAAATATTTCGAATAAAATTTTATTAAATCATTTTGAAATATTATCTTGGAAATATTTTCTACAACGAATAAAATATTTTATTTTCAAAAATATACGCACGACGTGAAACAAAACATCTATTTGCCATTTGGCATTTAAAATGGTATTTGACCCAGCTGAAATGTTACTCGAATAATGCCCAACTGTGTGTGTGTGTGTGTTCGTAAACAACGATAATAGTTCTTTCTCGAATAAAAATCGTTGTTCGAATTTATTATACGAATAAATCTGACAGATTTATTCGTTGATATATCGGTTAGTTCGTGTGTGTGTGTGTGTGTGTGTGTGTGTGTGTTCGAATAAAATATTTAACCCAACACTGGCGCGCAAGTATGGTGATCCGCGTGGATTTCGCAGTGGTGGTTTTGTTCGCGGAGAAGTCGGCGACACTGCGTGTGCTGGAGGCGGCGAGGCGAGTCGGCGTTGGTTCGCGGTTCGTTTGGTTGGGCAGCGACTCGTGGCCGGATCGTCGGGACGCCGTGGTCGCCGAGGACACGATCGTGTTGGAGGGAGCACTGGCGGTTCAGCCGCTGTACGCGCCACTATCGGGCTTCGACGAGTACTTTACCGGACTGACGCTCGACCACGAACGCAACAATCCTTGGTTCCGTGAGTTCTGGCGAATTTATCACGGTTGCACGGATAACGACGAGACCGACGACAAAGTCGGCGGCGAGGTGAGCAGATGAGCTGATTGGTTGATTTCGTGGGCGAGAATGGAAGATTTTTGGATTTTTTTTTTTTTTTCACAGCGTGTCGCCTGTCGGGACCCGAGTTTGAAGATCGAGCGGAGAAACGGCTACAAGCAGCGAAGGTTTCTGCACTTTGTCCGAGACGCGGTGTACGCGGTGGCTCACGCCCTCGACGACATGCGAGCGGACGTGTGCGGCCGAGGCTATGTGGGGCTTTGCGACGCGATGCGTCCCCCGGACGTGGACGCGTTCGCCGGTTACCTGGCCAACGTCTCCTTCAAGGGTAAAAGCTGGCTGTCCACTGGAGAGAGTAAAAAAACTGTCGCGAGTTGCTCTCGAGAGTGTTGTTCCTTGTAAATGCATACTGTTCTGAGAGTTGCTTGCAAATGGACACTGAATATTACACCGCTCTTGGAGAATGCGAAGCGAATTTCGAAATCCTGAGAGTACTCTCACGCGAGCGGAATAACGAATGGTAAAAAAAAAAGTGTGGTCGAAAAGTGAAATTATTCGACTAATTTTTTTAAATCTAAATTATTATATAATAATTGTACTATATATATTTATTATATTATATAATATTATATTTATATATATATATATATATAATATTGTGTAATTAAATAATTATTAATTGTACAATACATATCTATTATATTATATAATATTATATTTATATATATAATATTATTGTATAATTAAATAATTGTTAATTGTACTATATATATTTATTATATTATATAATATTATATTTATATATATAATATTGTATAATTAAATAATTATTAATTGTACTATATATATTTATCATATTATATAATATTATATTTATATATGTAATATTGTATAATTAAATAATTATTAATTGTACTATACATATCTATTATATTATATAATATTATATTTATTATATAATATTATATTTATATATGTAATATTGTATAATTAAATAATTATTAATTTAAATATTATATATAAATATTATATAATAATTTAAATTATTGAACTCTTCTTTTTACGTTGATTCTTCTGTTTTCTTAAAATGTTACGGGGCAATTGCGAAGGCACACATTTCTTGCACCTCCATGACAGTGTCGTCGTTGATGTCACTGTTCTCACACGACACCACCGTGAGTGGAACCAGAGACAACGAATTCTCAAATGGACACGATTTTGGATACAGTATACAGTACAAGCTCTCGGAGGATGCTCTCAAATGCTCACACAGTGCGTACTCTGAGAGTACTCTCGAGAGAAACTCTCCAATGGACGCAAGGTCGTTTGAGAGAAACGAAAGAAGGGACGGTCAACGCTCAACAAGGTTGATCGATTTCAGACGTGGTCGGCAACGGATTTGGGTTCGTGGACGGGGTCGACGGGCCACCGAGGTACTCGATCCTGAATTATCAGCGGACGGCGAACGGGACGTACCACTGGACGGACGTCGGGAATTACACGCGTAAGCTCGTTACTCTAATTGTAAGCTGTAGTGCTCGTCGTTTGGGTTAGGCGAGTGGTTGTAAAAGTCAGGTAAACAAAGGGGACAGAGAGACGGCGGATAAAGAGTAAAACGAAAGAAAAATGATGGTGATGGGTGCAGTGAACGAGGAAGGGCGAGCGGAGCTGCGGCTGGATCGGAGGAGGTTGCGGTTTCGGGGCGAGTCGCTGCACCGGTTCCCCAACTCGTCGTGTTCCCAGCCGTGCGACTCGAATCTCATCATGGTGAGGAACAAGGAGGACCCGTGCTGCTGGAGCTGCCAGAGCTGCGGCCTCTATCGGTACAAGGTGGACGAGCAGCGGTGCGAAGAGTGCGCGCCGGGCACCGTCCCGAGGGGAAACGGCACCGGATGCGAGCCCATTCCCGAGCAGTTTGTCGACCACTCGAATCCATGGGCGATCGTCGCCATGGCGATCGCGATTTTCGGTAATCTACAGGGTGTCTCGTCCAACTGAGTACAAACGAAATGTCTCGCAGTGTGTTGAAGCTACGAGAAAAATGTTTGTGCAAAAACTAAATACGGTATGAAAAGGTGTTTCACGTAGTATTATAATATAGTATAGTATAGTATTATATATACTTATAGTATAGTATTACATATATATCAACAATTTTTTCATTCGTATAATGGTGGAGCATGTTTCAAGGTCAACTTGATTCTCTTTTAAATCAGACCATACATTTTCTTACTCGTATTACGACCTACAATGTTGTACCGGTTCTTCTAGTTAGTTCTAAATTAAGAACCATGAAGTTTGCGTTAGTTTATGTGACATTCGGCGCTGTCGTCCTAACGCACGATATGCAATACCCTCGTTTCATCATCCTCAATTTAGGACTAACTGGTACAATACACTGGATTCGTATTGTATACGAATGAGAAACTGTCTGGCCTGAAAAATTTAAAGAAAGACAAGTCGACCTTGAAACATCCTCCACCGTTGTACGAATGAAAAAATTGTTGATACCACGTGAGACAGCTTTCTGTACCGAGCAACTTTTGTACAAACATCTTTTCCGTAGCTTCAACCCAATTCCGAGATATTTCACTGTACTGAAACCAGCTGTCGTAATACCAATGAAAAAAATGTCT